AGAGGGTGATGATGGTCTCCTGAAATCACCCACATCTATCACGGAGCCAGGCCCTCCGCGGCCACCTGCTTTGGTCTAGTGATAATTTGTCAACACGGCCCCAGTGGTTCAAAGGATAGGGGCCTTTGAGCACCGTCCCGGCCTCCCCACAGCGCCTGCTGGTACGGCAGGCACCACACACGGCCCAGGGTTCCCATTCTGACCGTCCCAGCACCACAGCCGGAGGGCCGAGACAGCAGACACCGTGCATAATGAATCACCCGGCCCCACAGTCAGGCCTGCTGGTCCCAAAATAACTCCTGCTGACCAGGAGGACGGGCCCTCCGGAACCGCAGCCCGGGCCATCTGAGGACAGCGTGCCCAGGAATTCTCTTTAACTGTCTGGTGACACATGTGGAGCCCTCACCGGGCAGCTCAGGGGCCCCGCGGGGCCACGGCTCACGCTGCCCACCACACGCAGCAGGGATTCGCGGTGCTGGCCCGCGCGCGGCCCACCCCGTGCTGGTCGAGGACACGCCCTCCTTCCCCGCCCCCACCCGTCAGCCCCAGACCAGATTCAGGAGACAGGAGGCCCCAGTCACCTCCCAAAGCGCGCCCATGATCTACGCAAGAGGACCCCGCATCTAGCAAGGGGACAGAAGGCACAGCGGATGGGTGTGTTCAGATCCAGACAGCCATCTACGGAAGTTGGAGAGGGCCCCCTCCGGGTGGAGGGAGGGGTGCTGTGCTCAGGGTCCTCACCTCCTTCCCCGCACACCACTCCTGCGTCTGTGCACGCTGCGGGACTGGGCCACGCACAGCGGCACCACGGGCTTCACAGACAGATGCCCGGGCCCTGGGCTCTGCAACTATCCGAAACCCACACTCACTGCTCCTTGGCCTGCAGGACACCGTGTCCGAACATGAACCTGGCGCTGTCACCACCGAGATCCAGCCTGTGACCCTCACCCCAGATTCTCCAGTGCCCCGAACTGCCAGGAATGTATCAACACTAAGACCTCAGGATCATTTCAGCTCTCCTGTGAAGTCCCTGTCTTGTGGATACATTGGGAGCCACCAAAATTCAGGCAAAATGACTTCCCAAGTAGAGAGTGTGTCTCTTCTCAACTCTGATAGACAGGAAAAAACATGAAATCATTGTTTTTGGTTTTGTTTTGGATTTTTGAGAGAGTCTCACTATGTAGTTCAGGCTGGGCTTGAACTGGCAGCAATGCTCCTGCCTCAGCCTCCCAAGTGCTGGAATTACAGGCGTGCACCACGACGCCTGGCTTGTTTTGGGCTCTGAATCTGCAAAGAATGGCAGACACAGATGGGCAACTTGGAACAGGAGCTGGCGAGTTCTCGACGGGAGCAGACATCCAGCCGCGCTATAAACTGTGCCCTTCCCTCTACAAGTGCCTGGTTTGTAGCAGGAACTCAGAATTCTGACGATTATTTTCATCTCTTGGCTGAACCTCACAAGGAGCCAAGTGACTCATCTCTAACCCTCTTCCTGCGGCTCAGCGGCCACGTGGGGATAAAAGCTTTCAACCAGGAAACTTCAAAACCAAAGTGCAGCCTTCCAGCTCTGCCCAGAACAGAGGAACGTCATTCCTCTCAGACCCAGCCGCCTACTACTGAACACCCTGGACCAAACCAGCATGCAAGGAAGACTCTAACAGCTCACAGGAGGCCGGGAGTGGTGGTGCACACCTGAGATCCCAGCACCCTTGGAGGCTGAGGCAGGAGGATCCCAAGTTGGAGCTCAGCCTGAGCAACTTGGTGACCCAGGGGGACTGTGTCAAAAAATAAATAAAAGTGGCAAGGAGATGGCAGACTGCCTAGGGGCTTCACACCTGAGGAGTGCAGGGGCACTGAGCCCCTCCACCACCTCACCCCCCATGTCCCAGATGGGGCACTGCACCAGTGGGCTCAGGGAAAGAGCCCAGGAAGCCTGCTACGGTGCCGAAGGACCAGGGAAAGTGGCCAGGGCTGTGGGACAGTATCCACCCACCCTAACGCCAGGGAACCAAGGCCGGTCAGGAGCTCGCCTGACTGCTCCTGGGCACACAGGGCTGATACTCCACTCCCCAGGGCCGGGCTGCTGGCCGAGCGGAGCTGGCCTGTGACCTGTCCTGCATCGGAGGAAGTGGGTGAGCTGGCCCTCTGCAGGAGGAGAGCCACGCTGCACCCACTGCGTCAGGGAGGGGCTGGTGCTGCCTAGATCTGCTTCCCCTCCCCTCTGGGGTCACAGGACCGAGGCAGTGGGGTGCTGCCACCACGTCACCTGGTCGAGCATCACCAGTGTCCCTGGAACAAAAGCAAGTCCACCCCGACCCACAGCCTGTGCACCAAGAAGGAAACTGCCTTGTGAGAAGAGGAAACAGGGACCTACATGTCTAAAATACTCCTGAAAATCACCTGGGAGACTTTGGGCGAGGACAGTCGCCACCGAGAGGGCTCAGGCTGGAACTGACTGACCAGGGCTTCAGAAAGACACTGCTGTAAGAACTGCAAGCACCGCGGGAACAAAGGCGAGTTGGCGGGCTGCGGCTCCAAACTCCTCGCAAAGAGCATGAGCTCACTTCCCAGCTTGGTGAGCTTTTGGATTCCGTAGCTTGGTGCTAAAACTCCAGCACATCTGCTATCAACACAGCTCGCCCTTCTGCCTGAGACCCGAGCACAGGCAAGGCACGGCCTCAGGCTGCACAGCAGCCCAACCCTACAAGCTGCCGAAGCCCTACGTCCTGCCCACACCAGGGAGACCGCGAGCGAGAGGGGCCGTCCCCTCACACCACGTCCCGCCCAGCAGGCCCCAGGGAGAAGCCAGCGGGCGGGGGCTGCAGGTTCCGAGGTGCGCGGACCACTCCTTTTGAAGGATGCCGCGCTGCCGCCGCGGCCAGGAGAAATGAGTGCAATGCACTGGTGAGATCTGCTGTCCCAGAGGCAGGGCCTGCGGGGCCAGGAGCACCCTCGGCCCCTGCAGATCTGCAAAGGGTTCCAGAAATAGCTCCACACCTCCAGCTATCTCAGCCACTTTCACAACTGATCTGATCTGCATTGCGGAGAGCAGACCTGGGGCCATGCTGAGGGGCTGAGGGGTCCCGGCACAGTGACCCCCTGCACCCCTCGGGGCAGCTGTCCTAGGGTCCTCCGACCCTCCCCCCCCCACACCCGCGTGACACACAGGGGCCACAGAGCAAGTGCCTGGAAGCCAAGCCAAGGACCGGCTACCCTGGGCCTCAGGCGGGGAAGGGGTGAAGCCACCCCAGGCTACCAAGAAATTACTTCCTTTCCAATTTACTCCCTCACGGCAGCCCGGTCCCTTGCGCTACGCTGTGAAGGAGAGGGGCAGAATGGGCATGGTCATGCATGCCTATTACCCTAGCCACTAAGGAGGCTGAGGCAGGAGGCTCGGGAGTTCGAGGTGAGCCTGGGCTTCTCACCCAAAACTTGTCTATAAATTTAAAAAGGGGTGGAGGCCAGGCATGGTGGCGCACGCCTGTAATCCCAGTATTTGGGGAGGCTGAGGCAGGAGGACTGCTGCGAGTTCAAGGCCAGCCTGGGCTACAAAGTGAGTTGAAGGCCAGCCTGAACTGCATAGTGAGATCCTGTCTCAAAAGGACAAAAATAAATAAATAAATAAATAAATAAATAAATAAATAAATAAATAAATAAATTAAAAAAATGGATGGAGATGTAGCTCCCTGCCTAGCAGTTGCCTAGCACATGCAGGGTCCTGGGTTCCATCCCAGCACCACACACTAAACTGCACTGCGCGGCTCTGCCGCTGGGGGCGCTGCAGATGACACAGTCCCTGTTGGTGGGGCAGTGGCAGTGTGGGCTACCCTGGTCCGTCCACTTGCTCCACCCCCATGAAGGCTGCCCGGGAGGAGGACCGCAAAGGGCCTCAGAAGGGGGAGTGCGCGTGCGCACACCTCTGACCCTCAAGACGGCCTTGCACACCGTGATTCTGCCACCCCCGCCGGGGCCTGCAGGTGCCGGAGGTGGTCCAGGGTGCGACCCCCTCCAGCCCCGCTCTCGGTTCCCCTTCCGTGGTGGGGTGAGCTGCATCCCTGAGCACTCACCTGCAGCCGTCTTGGGTACCAACGTCTAACTCTGTGTTGAATTTTGAGACGGGGTTTCCAAAGGGAAACCGAGTTAAAATGAAGGCCCACAGGGACGGGGCCTGCGCGTGAGAAGCGGGTCAGGTCACGGACGCCCGGATGGTCCTGCGCACAGGCGGCGCGAAGACGCGTCCGCAACCCCGCCCCAGCGGGGCTGCTCTGGGGCTGCCCACCAGACCTCTTCCTGACCGCCCCGCCCTGGGGAGGAAGGCTCCGCCGCCCCTTGGAGAAAAGGCTTCTGCCACAGCCTCTGCCCACAGCACCCGCTTGGTCTCGGCTAAAGCCCCAGCCCCAGAGGGACTCACTTTGTTCGCGGGCCCCACTTCTATTGGTTTATTGAAAGGAACAGTTAACGTTTAATTGTTTGATCAGTCTTGCATACCTGTACCTGGTAATTTTGAAGGTAACAGTCAGTAATACAACAACCATTGTCGATTTCCCTAAATAAATTAATAAATAAGTAAATAAGTAAATAAATAAAGCCCCGGCCCCGGCCCCAGCCCGGAGAAAGACAGGTGCCCTGGAGACCCCCGGATCCTGCGTGGACTGAAATCGCCATGCTCAGGGCTGAGGCTGACACCACTGAGCTCACCCACAACCTGTGCTCCACCTGCTGGCGACCGCACCTGAGCTCACGCTGCTCCAGGTGGTGGCGCTGCCGCTCCAAGGTAAGGCGGGCGCTAGGACCCTCCCAGGTCAAGGGCCCCGCCCTGCCCAGCTCCTGACCACTCAAAAGAAAGCAAGGGAAGCAGCAGAGACCACTGGAGACAGCTTGGGGAGCCCGGAGGCAGGCCCCACTGTTGGCTCCGCCCCCAGCGATGGGCATTAGACCTGGCCCTGCTCAGGATCTAACTGAGGACTCCACAGAGGGGCAGCTGGCACACAGGGACTCACCGCTCAGGGTCGGCTCGGAGGCCCCGGTCACTGGGCGACTGTCGCTCTCAGCGTCACCGTCAGCTCCGAAGCTGGAAAGTCAAAGGGAACATTACTGAACTCCTCGCATCCACCTTGCAAGATGGGGTTTCCCGAGGACAGAACAAGAAAGTGAGTCCATGCAGGCTTCTGGTTGCCAGTCTACTAAAGCAGGGACGGATGTCTAAGGAGCCCAGAGGTTCAAAGGCCAGACGCCCCTGGCCTCAGCTCACTGCCTGGCGTCCCCCCACCCCTAGCCCTGAGGCAGATTGGACCCTCAGCCCACAGACGTGGCCCTCAGGGAGGCCAAGTCTACCCAGAACCCGAGCCCAGAGCCCACGTGTGTCCCGGGGTCCTCACGTCCACCGGGCACCAGCAAACCCTGGGTCCTTGGTAACATCTGGGCAGGAAGAGGCTGGTGACCAGACCCTTGACCGCCAGAGGGGGCTCTGGAGGAAACTGCGCAGCTCATCCTTTCCTAAGACCCCGCTCCTCTGCAGGGCAGGGGGACAAAGCACGCCTCGCTGGGGGCTTCAGGGCACCCCACTGCACTGCAGAAGACTTGCCACACAGCTTGTGTCATGGAGGACACCCGCTATGAGTGTACTGCTATGTATACCGTCTCCAGGGCCACCTGCATCGCGGGCACCAGGACTGGGTCACGCAATCATGCGCTCCTCTTTAGGGGCTGGAAACAAAGCCCGACCCTGTCTCCTCCATGCCAGGGAGGAAGTCCCAGCCCCCAACCTAGATTCCTATCCGGTGCACACACGTGGCCTAAAGCTCAATGTCACCCATTATATGCAAAGGCTTTTTACGAAGCGTGCCTGCTTTCAAGGGCTCAAAAACTTTGAGAAGTGCTGTAACAATTAGTCAACTGGAATATTTTTAAATGCTAGGCCAGGCATGTGGCGCACGCCTGTAATCCCAGCACTCCAGAGGCTGAGGCAGGAGGATCGCTGCGAGTTCCGAGGCCAGCCTGGGCTACAAAGTGAGTTCAAGGCCAGTCTGAACTGCACAGCGAGACTCTGTCTCAAAAAAAGACAAACAAGGGCTGGGGATATAGCTCAGTGGCACAAGCACTTGCCTGGCAAGCACAAGGTCCTAAGTTCGATCCCCAGTACCACAAAAAAAAAAAAAAATAGATAAAATAAAATAGAATAAAATAAAATAAATAAGAACAATAAAATGTAAATAAATGCGAGGAGCTAGTTGAATAGAACACGCACAGAGACGCACTGACGCGTGTGCACACGTGCAGGGTCCAGCAGGCGCGGGACTTTCTAAAATGGCCACGGGCAGCACCTTGGGGGAGGGGCTCAGGTCACCATCATGGCGGGGGTGGGGGGGTCACTTCTAACTCTCCCGTCCCGACCCAGGCTTCTGTCTCCAGGGAACCTCATCGCCCCTGGCTTCTGGTGCCTTCAGCTGGGCACACGCTTGCGAGCGCCGCTTCTGCGATTGTGCTAGGGCACAACGTTCACCCAGAAGGGAGGTCAGTCCCACGCCGCCGTCCTGCAATCCAGTTCTGTCTGTTTTCAAGAAAGGTGTTAATAAATGTGGCAGCTGACCAAACAAAGACAGGATCCCTCTCAGCAGATGAAGAGGACAGGGTGACTAAGACAGGCTAAAGGGGAACCGCAGTGAAAACCGCAGCCCGAGAGCCTGTGGCAAACCCCGGCCAGCGCTGTGGACAGGCCAGTCTGGACCTGCCCGGCCACACCCAGGGGCGGAGCAATGGCCGTCACCTGCCCGCCTTGAGCCTCGCAGCCCAACTGGGACCCGCTTACTAGCCCAGGGTCTGCTTCACCTGCAGATTCTAATCAGAGCAGCAAGGCGCGAGATCGTGCTGAAGATTACGCTAACCCGCGCAAAAAAATGAAGCCGCGGGAAACGCGGCCGGAGCAGTTCTCAAACAAAGCACCTTCGGATCCCGTTTAGCATCTCCAGTATCTTCCCAAAAAACTCCTGAGCTAACACAAATGCTGTTTCTTACCGTCTCGCTTCCTCACACTAAACATTTGCAGTTCTAACAGTGACTATTTAGACGCTCAACAATTCCTAACTTTCAGGACAAAGCCGTTAACCCTGTCCCGCCAGGAAGCTAGGGTGAACTCCGGACCTTTTCAAAAGCGGACAGAAAGCTGGGCATGGTGGCGCACGCCTGTAATCCCAGCACTCCGGAGGCTGAGGCGGGAGGATCGCTGCGAGTTCAAGACCAGCCTGGGCTACAAAGTGAGCTCAAGGCCGACCTGAACTGCAGAGCGAGACCCTGTCTCAAAAAGACAAAAAAAGAAAAAAACGGAAAAAAAAAAAAAAAAAAGGGACAAAAAAACTCTCATTTGAGACCTTGGACTGGGGTCATAGAGCGCTGTGCCTTCACAAGCAAGGTGTAAGAGCGCAGCTACGAGGCCAAATTAAGATACATGTGGATAGGGCGGAATTGAAAAAAAGGTTTTTGAGACAAGGTCTCATATAGCTCAAGTCGGCCTTGAATTTGTGGCAATCTTCCTGCCTCAGCCGCCTGAGCATTGGGATTGCAGGCGCCGGCCAGCACACCCGGCTCTACACAAAAATTTAAAAACTTCAAAATGCTACCGCCAAAGCCTGTACACAGCTTAGAAGCAAATTAACAGTTAAATCTGGGGCAGGAGGCCTAGCTCGGGGGTAGAGCACTCGCCTAACACGGGTGAGACCCTGGGGCCTATCTCAAGCATCACAAAACAGAAAGGAAACACAACTCGCTACACGTGCGCGCGGCTTTCGCGGGCCTCTCCAGGCAGCTCGCGAGTCCAGCCGCCACCGTCCTCCAGCCCCGGGGAAATAACTGAATGGGGGCCCAAGGTGAGCGCGCTCGAGGAGTTACCTGACGCAAGGGAGAGAAGGAGAGGTGGGCTCGGCCTCACAGTTCGGCCCCGGTCGGCTGGCTCCAACGCGGGAACAGCTCGGCGAGGGGAGGAGAAGGTCCTCAGACTGTGGTGGCCAGGCAGGAGAAAGAGGACGGAGGAACGGGGGACGGGAATATATCCACCTTCCAGGTCCCACCCAGTGCCCACCTCCAGCCAGGCCCCGCCTCCTCACGCCACTGTCAGTCCATCCACGAAGAGTCCTCCGATTTGTCCAGCACCCGTGACCCCTCACCTTCCACATGCAAGGGGCTCTGGGAATTTTCTAGACAGCAGCCATGACACACGTGTCGCACGCCATGCACACCCGCCATGATGGCCCCAGCACGCGGCCCGAGCCCAGGCCCAGGCCCAGGCCCAGGCGCACCCTTCTCGCGGTGGCGCAGAGCCAGAGCCAAGGCCACAGGGCAGGGCACCGGCCACGCCAGCAAATTTCCACCCTGGGTGCCTTCTCTGACACCAAAGGAAATACCCCCGAAACGTAAAAGAGCCCAGGGCCCAAAGCCCAGGGCCCAGGCCCCACCTACATCTCAAGTCTGGAGTGAAGGCGGGGCCGCCAAGAACCCCTCGCCCAGCAAGCTCGAGCTAGTCCGTCCCCTAGAGCCATGGTGGCCACATAACTGAGATGCACCCTGATAACAAGCCCTGCTGGGAGGAGGCGGAAGACCAGGACGGACGCCCAGGCCCCCCCTCCCGCGGCCCGGGGAGTCACGTAGGCAGGCTCGCTCAGCCCCGAGCGGCCAGCCGCAAGCTGCCGAGCACCGCGGCGCCCAGAGGGACTCCAGAGCAAAGGGAGCTAAAATTAGGGTGGCACTGGCACAAAACCACACACGCTGCTTGTCGGAGGAGCTGAATTTGCAAACACGAGCGGGACCTCATTGTAGTGCTGCGCCCCACTCGCCACACGCGCCCCTGGAAGGGAGTGGGCGCGCGGCTGCCTCCCCCACCGCCCCCGAGGCCCTCGGGGCAAGACTCGAGGTCCTCCAGGCAGCGCCCCCAATGTGACATGCTCTGCAGGCAAGGACGGATACCCCCCGGAGACATCTTACACAAAACGCTTTGCAATCTCTCATGGAAAGTTTTCAAAAGTGCGGGAAGAACTTGAAAAACCACTGTAGGATCACCGTCCCTTCCTCGGAGCAACACCTGTTCTCCTTCCTCCCCGATCACTGGGTTAGGGCGGTACACCCCCAGCCGCACCCGACGCTCGGAGGGGCTCAGGGGCTACTTCCAGGTGCGATCCAAACAGTGAGTGTTTAAGTGAAAGGCTGACACAGTTAAGACGCACTGCCACGGGTCCCCTGCAGAGCCCCCCCCCCCGCCACACTCATCCCACCCTTGTGGTCACTCTCTGAAGCAGCTCTGAAAGTCCCTTTCCCGAGTGCCTTCACAAGGGTGATCAAAAACGTGGTGAGTGCTGCTGCAGAGCCACCCGACATGAGGCCGTGTGCTCCCCCGCTGCACTCACTGATCTGGCACCCTGAGACTTCTGGCTCGCCTCCAAAGTCAACATGAATGGGAAACATTTTGAATCCATTCAAGATATCAAGGCAGCCAGGACAGTGCTGCTAAAGACCCTCAGGAAAGAGGGCTCCAGAGCTGCTGCAGAAGGCAGCAAGGACGGGGCGACGCGTGTGTTCAGAGTGAGAGGGACTTCCAAGGAAGGCGAATGGCAATGTGTCTTTTTCTGTAATAATTTTTAAAGAATATGTTTAGGTATTCACCATATCTTTGAACCACACCACACAGAACGTACAGAACACAGCGAGAATGTGGACGGAGTGTGAACCATGACACAGGCATTAAATCTAAGACCCAGGATACCTGGTGGCAGGTGCTCGATAAGACACAGACAGCACCCCACCACCCACACCACTTGCAGACTGATGATTCAAACACCGCCAAAAAACACAAGGAGAAACAGCCAACGAATAACGTCACAAACGCTAGGGAAAAAATAGCCTCCCAAGCAAGATTCCTTACCCCGAAGTCAGGAGCGATAAACGAACTCCTTTACCCTACATACTGAAGACCCTACGTGCAGAAATGCAAAAACAAGCCCAAACTTCGGACAAAATATTTGCGAGGGCATGCGGCTAAGGGTCTGTGCTCCACACATCTCATGGTTAGTGAGATAAGGGAAGATA